CATCTTCCTTAATTTTTAGATATAATTCCAAACTCAATACAGAAGATGGAGAGTTGAAGGGAAACCTATTAGATATACTTTGCTATTAGGAGTTCTGGAGGCAAGAGATAATTTAATGGCAGCCCCAAGTGACATGGCGATGCAATTAGGAAGAAAACAAATTATTATTTAGAAAATAATCTAGGAATACATTATTTACAGACAGGAGGTTAACACTTGGAAATAAAAGTGTTCCTCTTCCAGAAAATGTATTGCGCACAAACTTGTCAAAATATAAATTCACACCCATAACCATGTGATGTGGAATGATCATTTTCTACGTTCTAAGTGATATTGCCTGATAGGAGATACTCCTTAAAAACAGATAACCTGAAGGAATTCTTGTATCTTCCTTTGCTCTTAATGCAAAACTAAAATGTGCAGAAGTAGATACTAATCTCCTTTTAATTTGCATATTCCCTGTTTCCCTAGGTGTCAAGAGATATAGTCTTTGTAAAATAGGTCATTGACCAAAAGCTGCATATCTCAACAATTTATGTGCATACTTCAACATTTTTCAGACATAAGCATAATATCATGGCTAAAAGCTTGCATAAGATCCCTAGATCTACATACAGCAGATCTACTTACAATATACTGCAGGTGTCTTGAATCCTTTGTTCTTTACAAGAATTAGCCATACAAATATCACATACAAGTACAGTTATACATAAATTGCAAGGGTAAGTATTGGAGATTAAATGTCGACAAAACTTTCAATACTTTCACTAATATTCAAGTCAGTCTGAAGTATCATTCTTCAAACTCGTAATGATAATACTAAAGACATGTTCGAGAACTTCCTGGCGAAAGAGGCTTACTATGCTGCTTGAAGCATACTACACAGCTCTATATAGAAGTTTATACAAGTTTATAAAAGAAAGTTCTCTTACCGTAATGATGTTAGCACATAAGCGATCAGGCAGAGCTGGCCTCCATGCAAAAGTGATGACCTCGTTGCAGCTGCCGGCGGTGGTCTCTGGCACAAATGGGTTCCGAGTGCAATTCGTTCTAACAAAACTGCCGACGTAACTTTCCAATGCTCCAGAGAATACTATACAGGGACCCCCACCAACTATTGGCCAACCCGATAATTTCTAAATGGTTCTCGATATCGAAAGGTAGTTTTCGCTCCACAATGAGGAATAAGGAGCAAGTAATGTGCCGCAGAGAAATTATTCTAAATATTTTTATTTTCCGAGGTTCCGAGTAGTTATTTATCTCATTAGCAATATATAGATTATAAATAGACAAATGCAATGATGTAATATATGTTAATATTTTGGTAATATTTTGAGTATAAAATTATACTTTCCCTCATGTGATTTTACATTAAATATACAAGATTTCCTGTAGAAACCCTTTCAACTTTCTTCTTTGCAGAAGGTAGCCTTTGCGGCGTCGGCACTTTTACGGGGAGAGCAGAGAGGCCGCGAAGGTCACATTTGCCAAAAGCGACAGTTGCGACGGCAGCTACAGGAACATTGCTCGTTTAATTTAAAATTTCTGGTCAGAAAGTATAATTTTATGACTGAAATACTATCAAAATATTAACATATGTTACATCATTGCATTGCTCTTTTTATGATCTATCTATTACTAATGAGAAAAATATATGGTTTCATTTAAAAAATCAGAAATGGTTAAATTTTTCGAAAAATAAAAATATTTCAAACTATATCTCTACACCGTATCACTTTTTTCATGATTCCGCATTGTTGAGCGAAAATTGTATCTCGATATCGGGACCGTTCAGAAGTTATGAGGGTCGCCCATAATTGGTGGGTCACTGTATACTAAAGTCTTTCAAACGTTCGTGACTCACTTAAAGAAACACTGACCACTGCCTAGTACTTTTATGGGCGAACCACGTCTAACGTTAGAACGCTCTTTACGATCAGAACACCACGGTGGTGGAAAAGGTACTGCTGCCCTTAGGCTGAGGGGAGGTAGGCGCGGGACCCGTTCGCAAACAATTGCAACATCACGATTCTCGTTCACCTCTGTGGTTCGGGAACGATTACGCCATGACGTTCCTTGGCAATTCTTCAGGAGGCAATTTTTCAAAAATATGAGTGGTAGTGCGTGTTGCTCGCTATATTCAAACGATTTGGAACACATGTTTACTTGTACTTAAATAATATCACTGAAATAAAATGTACTGTTGCTATCTGTCGGTCATTTCTTCTGTTAGCATGGTTGCATGGTAGAAATACTTGCATGGTAGATCATTGTCATTGAGTTTTCTTTAATTGGATGGTTTTTCTTTAATTTCTTAAATTGGTGGTTTAATTTAATGAAACTAACACCATATTTTTACCGCTCTTTGATACATACTAGAAGAAGATTTTAAAAAAAAATTGGACGGGGTTTTGAGAACAAAAATTGCTTTAAAAAAAGTCTTATATTTCGTGCAAACGACACAACAATTACACAATTCGAAGAACTGAACTTGACCTTACTTCAATATGTCTTTAAAACTCATTTAGAACCCATCTTAATGCTCGTTAGTAACTCTTCCCGAATGTGTTTGTTTTGGAAATAAAATACTAAATAAAATACATGAAAGAATGATAAGTTGATCAATCTGTAAAAAGTTTCTAATTTATTTGAGCGATATTTAACTTCTGCAATTTATTTACTTGACTAAATTAAGATTTTCTGGCTGCTTGATATTTTAAAGGCCCTCATTACGTCATCAATCCCAAATCTCTCTAACAACCAGCCTCTTCATCGACATGCGATGTAGAATTACGACTACACTACGAATTCGAGAAAGCAGTTGATTACGTATAGTACGCAGAAAGTATCAGGTATTCTCAAAACGTGTTTTTCTGTGAACAAATTAACACTTTTTCCTGTAGCATTTCATATCTTTATCTTTTTAATACGTATGTAGAGAAAAGTAAAAGGCCGAAAGACAAAAAATGAAAAATATTTAATTTTAAAATAGAAGTTGTTTGTTTTTTATAATGTTTAAACAACATCAAATAATCTATATAAACTGAATTTCATATGTTAAAAATGTGACTTATAGAAATATAAATATATTAATATAATAAAACTCAACAGGTATCAATCTAAATGTTTGAACAACCAAAGACCAATGTTCAAACTACTTCCTATTGTCTGATTTCAAACTACTTCCTTTCGAGTGAATAATGGAAACACACTGAGATTTAAACAGAAATCTGAAGGGAAGAAACACGATTGTCATCACTTTGTGGAGTATTACCTGCCAAATGTAATCGTCATAAAGCCACGCGTTTTGCAATGGGAGGTCAAATAGGAAACGAACCGAGAGGAATTCAAATGCGAAAGATACAAAGCGTATTCAACACCGAATGGAGAGACAAAATTAATTTCCCTGTTTCAAACCTTCTTTCTGGATGTCAAAAACTGCATTCGCACACATAAGGGACCTTTAGCGCATTCGGCCTCTCTTTCCTCTCCGAATCGCATCCGTCGAGCGAAGTCGATCATTTGCGACTGATCCGTCACGCTCATCTGCTCGACTTCTCTCTTTCTCTCGGCGTTCACGACCATCGAATCCCTGGCTTTTACAACAGACTCGCTGGCGCCGCTAAACAAGAATGAAATGCGCTCTGTGTCGGTTGTTTCATTTCAAACAAATGCCATTGCGGCAGAGCGCAAAGTGTCCGGAAATTGCAACGTTTAATGGTGCAGAAATGTCCGTTACATATCCCATGTGGTGGAGGTATTGGCGTTGCTGGTAACAGTGACTGTGGTGTTTGTGTTATGTCATCTGGTAGGAATGAATGGGAGCAAGGAACTCGAGAATGAAAACAGCGTTGCTATTGATGAGATTAGTGAAAGAACTGACGTCAACGTACAGAGAGAGAGAGAGTAACATTAATGGAATCACCTCACCAGATGAGTAGAAGAACTGACGTCAATGCGCACAAAGAGTGACTTCAATGAGAAATGACAGGAAATACGGCGGGCAGCATGTGAATAGTGATTGCAAGAAGCTGCTGGGAACAGACTATACGGCGATGAATCTGGCATCGGAAAAAGGTAGTGTAGGGGAGAAAAAATAAGGCAATTTCGTTGGAATCATAACATTGCTCAACAGCATTTTATAACAAAGAAGCTGAATGGTGTTCAAAGATAAGTCTATGACCCTGAATCCAAATATGAAATCATGTTTTGCCTATCGGGCTCACTTTCCTTTTTACACGCTACTCCCTATTTACAGAAATGCTTCAAAACGCTGCATATTGGTTATTTTGCTGTAGATTCATTTAATTATTCCGCAGATCTAATTGTTCAGGAATAATCGAAAAGTTAACAAGGAATTCCTATATATGATAGCATGGTGGTTTACAGAAAAAAGTTTCTTTTGTAGACCAATGTAATTGCAGACGATAATTGTGGCATAGGCCGTGACAATGGTTTAAATTAATATGGCATTGAAATTAAGGTTACTTTGCAGTCGTCTTAGTTCCCCAATGCCGCCAGTCATGATAGAAATATTAATGGCAAATATAAAAGTACTGTAGGTAGTATAGTCGGTAAAAGTCACAAAAGAAGTGGAAGTAATAGCGGAAGTGGGAATTGGGAAGGATATGTAAGTGAGAATGGCAAAATTAGTATGGGTGTTAACAGCAATGTGAGTGGTAATGTCACTGAAAGTGATGATATCAATGAGAGTGACAGTTGCAGTAGCAATGCGTGTAGTAGTAATATTGGTAGTACGAACAAGGGGAATGACGTCGATTATGTTCTGTCGGCGATGGTGAAATCGTTGCTGATAGGACTGGTGATTGTGGTGGCGATGGTAGTGATCGTGACGGTGGTTATGTAAGTGCCAATGGTGATGGTGGTAGCATTTGGGATAGTGGTGAGAGTGGTTATGGTAGCGTTAGTGGGGATAGTGGTTGTGGTAACTGAGGGATAATTATGATTTGGTGGTGAGGGTAGGGGTAGCGTTGGTGGTAATGGCGGATGTGACAGTCATGGAGATATTGGAGGTAGTGGCAGCGGTGACAGAGGGAGGTAGAGGTTGTGGTGTTGGCAACATCGTGCGGTTGGAGCTGCAAGGTAGAGACGAGAGCCTAATAGCAGTGTTGCATCAGCAGCAGCAGCTACAGTACCGCTGGCAAACACGCTGAAGCGGACGCTGTCAGAGTCGTGCGAGACGCTTGTTAATATAAAAGCACACGTTGAGACAGAGTTCAAGAAGATTATTAGAATCTCAATAGAGGTTACGCGCTTCGTCAAATACAAGGAAGAAGTTTATCATCGAGGCAACTAATCCAGCAAACATTTTTGCTTTCAGCTTTTTGTTCTTCTTCGCCAACTAACTAGGTAAGTTAATTCGTTATTATATTTACGACTTATAAGTAAGAATAATATTCGTATTAGACTTTCATTCGTTGATATTCTAACACTGCACAGAATGTCTGAATAGATATTGTATAATTTATCTCCAATAAAATAGAAAGAATAAGTAAAGCAATACTAAAGCATTAAAGAGCGTAAACATATTAAAGATATGTATGAATTTGTATTTATTTTTCCGTTAAAATGTATATTTATTTTTCACAATTACGGATCTTATAATATAATGTTCAACATGCCAATATTTTTAATCTGGTTCAAATATCTGTCGTACGAAATTAATTAAATGATATAGATTTCGATGACTCCAGCGATGGCTTTGTGACGAGGATGATATATGGTAATACCATGCATCAAAAAATTAGAACAAAAGTTTTCATGAACAATAAACGCTAACAGAAACATTACATCATTTTGTTTTTCTTAACAAACGTGTTTCATTGGGGAACTTACGTAGAAATACGTATTTCCACTGTGATGTGCTCAAACAACAATATCCTTTTTAAGCAATCAGAAAATGTGCATCCCAAAAGAGGCAGCTTTATGACTTCGTGCCGATCAAGTAACCTTTCTAGTAACATGAGAAACATTCCAGCGAGAGTTGTATTTTTTACGACAAAATCTAAAAATTAAAATGTTCAAAACATAATCAAAATTATAACTTTTTCACATATTTTAAAATAAAACTTAAAAAGTAAAATGAAATATGTAACAAAATATGTACAAAAAAAGAACAAAAATATGTAAAATTCTTATTTTTTTATTTATAGAAATTTTATTTATAGAATGAAATCAGCTTGTTACTTTATTATTCAATGACAACAATGAATATCGGATAATTAGCACATAGCAAAGTCTTAGCTGTTCATTCGAAAACTGTTTGATATCAATATGGTATTTACTATTTTGAAATCCCATTTTATCAACAAATCGAAAATATTTTCCTAGTCTGCGTACACAGTGACGTGCCTGCACTTCGCGAGCCACGCGGAGCAAAGTACGCGTGCTGCTCAGCAGCTTCGGAGAGCACGAGCTTCGTCTTACAAAGCAAGAGCATGCTTTATCTGCAACAACGCCGTCGCGTAGCAGGAACAGGGAAGAGGAGGAAGTATGTGGCATCCAACCACGTGCACAACACGCGCGTCATTCAGAAATCTTATCGTGTGTTTCAAAACATATCGATGGGCGTGGCGAGGGAGTGTGTATTGATTCCTATTGCGCCAATCATTTGGATCATTAGCCAGGTAGTGCAAGTTTTATCGTGAGGTGTGGTCGAATTCCTCTCCTATTGGAACGTGAAACCTAACGGCGATTGATTGATTACTAGTGAGAGCGGCCGTATCTATGGCTAAGGTCGTTAGTCCCGAAAGTGTAGTGTGTGTTTCTTGTTTGTTTGTTTGTTTGTTTGTGTGTGTTCTTTTCAATGCTCGGGAATACGATCTTGACTGGATGGCGAGACCCATCATTGAACCTACCGTCGGCTAACGGAATTTTCCCCAACCGCCCCAGCCCGGACAACTTCTAAGCTCCCGGCACGTGTGGTTGTGTGCTGAATGTAAATGTGTGTATGTAAGGAGTGAGGATAGCACAAGGAAAGGGGAAAGAAATATCGCGCCCGGTCTGTGGCCCGTTTCGTATGGTACTGCTCCAGCATTCGCCTGGTGTTGATCGGACAAACCACATAATACTACCGATCACTGATCACTATCACAGCTACCAATCACTCACGCTAGAATTCTCCTCCAGGCAGCGGCAGACCTCGACCTAGCTATCTGGTTAATGTCGAAAAGCCTGCCACGGTCGGGACTCGCTCCTCACGACCTCCCGGTCAGAGGACTGGAGTGACATCAGTTGATGCCCTGAGCCAACTCTCCCGTTCCAATGGTGACCTACACGTCGGCATGCGGGGTAATTCAATTCCAGGTACCTTTCACAGCACCACGCCGAGCCATCTGAGACAAACTCTAAGCCTTATAATGATTCTCCAAATACTAAAAGAGTAGTGCATGTTTGTGTACTTTTATAAAGTGGGAGTGGATAAGATAAATATGAGGAACTCTAAGCCTTATAATGATTTTCCAAATACCAAAAGTGTAGTGCATTGTGTACTTTTTTTTAAATGGGAGTGGATAAGATAAATATGAGGAAGGAAAGTACGCGCGACGTGTCCCGTTCGTTAGCGTACTACTCCGGTATTCGCCCGGTACTGATACGGAGAAGCCACAGAGAACCACCGATCACAGCAGCCAGCAACTAGAATTCTCCCCCTGCGTTGAATTCGACCCAGCTACGAAGCTATTTCGAAAATTCGTAACATCAGGACTCGATAACCAGGACCGCCTCCCCGTCAAAGATGGTGCAGAGGCAACGGAACTCCACATAATTGTACAGGGTGCGCCAGAGAAACTTACTTATTTGAAAAAATTCCCGCGCGGTGAGTTGGGCGGTTAGAGGGGCGAGAGGGGGCGTATCTGGAGGGGGAAGTTCCCAAGTTTTTTCTCCTTCCAGTCAGTTGCCATCATGCTGTGGACTAGAGAGCAGCGGGCCTTCGCAGTCGAGAGCTTCTTTTCTAACGGTATATAATATACTCACCGCGCGGGAATTTTTTCAAAGAAGTAAGTTTCTCTGGCGCACCCTGTAGATAAATAAGTCAACAAATTGGAAACCACCGACTCCGCCAATACCTACTTTTGCAATGCCTGCTACCAAACGTCTGTCATAAGAAAAAATCTAGTTTCACAAATAAATTAAGCATGTACTGGATACACGGGGAAAGTCAAAATAACAAAAAACAAACCGATACTAAACTATGAAGTTTGGGAGAATCGACACGCTACAAAATACAAGAAAAATGCTATCATGTTATATATTATTTTAAGAAAGCAAGTCCACTAGGAGAAAAGGAGTGTCCTTGCGAAATAAGAAAAGAAAATGTATGTATAATGTAATAAATTTAATTATATAAATTTAATATATGAATATAGAATTAATGTATGTATATGGCATATCTGGGAGTGAGCTGTTTGTATCTCGCCATTAATTAAATACTTCTAATACGCTAAGGAATGATGGCAGTATTTTATGGAGTTTAAAATACGCCATATACACAAAACTATATGAAATACCTTGTAGTGCTAAATAATGGCACAGACTTTCTCGTTCTAGTTAGTTTTCTAATTTCTTTGGTCAGGGCAGGCTTTATATTCATTTCCCATCCTCTTGCCAGCTGCCATCTATCGCCGCCCAAAGTTCATTCCTTTTCAAAATTTTCTCAACTTTTCGGTTTCCTGACGGTAGAATCGAAATATCATATTATGCAGTTTGGTAAAAATCCAATTCATTGTTTAAGCACTAGTGTTGTTCACATTCACCATACAGACAGGTCAGACAGACAGACAGACAGACAGACTGATGAACGGACGTTTTTAAAAAACACTTTTTCGATATCAGGGAACCCCCAAACGTTTATTTCCGTTGAAATCACGAATTCTATTTTTCGCCGCAATATTTTAACTTTCTCTGCACTACCCATGTCTCCGCATACACGTATGTATATGAGAACGTAAAACAAAATTACTCTTCTGTACCGGACTAATATAGTGTTTTCATGCAGTGTGCCCGTTATTTCCAATCGGAAGAAACTGGGCGCTCTTGTGCTGGGCTTGCGGCCGTTCCCTCGCTACCCCCGAGCGGCGAGTGCAGTCTTCTCTGCGCGAGCAACAAGGACTCGGGGGAAAGGGTGACGCTCCGTCTAAGAACGGAAGGGCCTTATTTACCACGGCGTTTGCCGTCCCTTCGTCCCCGAGAGCGGGCGATCGCGCGCTTATTAAATCCGCCTTAACGTCGCGGTAATGCCCGTCTAATTAGCCCCCTTGTAAATCCGCGGAACGGCCGCCTCCGGGGCCGGCCTGTGGACGGACGCGCGCTTCCGAGAAGGCGCCGGCGGCGGCAGACGGCGGCGGGAAAGGAGGCGGACGCTGTGAGGAGGCGAAGCAGATGCGAAAGAGTGCGAGATGAGCCGGGGGCGACTGGGGTGGCAACGGAACGAACTTGGAGGCGGAGCGGGGCAAGTCGGGTTGGAGCGGGTCGGGTCGGGTCGGGTCGGGTGGGGTCGGGTGGGGTCGGGGGGTCGGGTCGGGTCGGGTCGGGTCGGGTGTGGTTGGGGAGGGACAGGAGCGGGTTGGAGGTGGGGGCGGTTGAGGCGGGGCGGGGCGTGGCGGGCGTGGCGGGCAGCGTTGAGCTGGGCGGTTTGGGAGAGTGGGTTGGGCGGTGGAGGCAGGTCAGGTCGGAGGCGGATCGGGTCGGGTTGGGTCGGGTTGGGTCGGGCGGGTCGGGTCGCGTCGGGTCGGTCGTGTCGGGTCGGAATTGGATCCGGTCGGGATCGGGTCGGTCGGAGGTGGGGCGGATGGTGGGGCGGAGTGGGGCGGAGGTGGAGCGGAGCGCGGGGCGGACGGGGCGGAGGACGGGGGCGGGTCGAAACCGGGGTAGGTCGGAAGCGGGGAGGGTCCCAAGCGAGACGGGGGGCGTTGGTCGGGGCGGGACAAAAGCGCAGCGGATGGATGGAGACGGAATCAGAGGAAATGGGCGGAGCGGAAAAGAAGGGACAGAGACGAAGGGCGAATACAGTCAGTGGGAGGGATGCATGAGAGAAGGTGGGATGGGGGGGGTGGCGTTAGTACGGTGGATGAGGGCCAGAGGAAGAAAGAATACGCTGAGAAAGCGGAAGAGTAGCGCAGGCATGCCAGGAAC